AATGAGCTCTGGAACTCTGCACGGGGCTTTCAGATGGTCTGCGTGGAACTCGAGCAAGCCAAGGATCAAAGGATGAATCAACTTTTTGATGTGACATTTAATTTTTTTTTTTTTTTAACTTCGAGGGGAACGGACTGAGTCTCAGGTCTGGTTAGTTCTTTGGTCCTGTCCATGGGCTAGGGAGGGAGGGGCCTGTGGAGTTTTCAGATGTGTGTGTGTGTGTGTGTGTGTGTGTGTGTGTGTGTGTGTGTTTGGGAGGTGGCATCTGGGTTGGTTGCGGTTGGGAGGTGGGCCTGTGACTAACGTGCACTCTTGTGAATGTATGAAATAATCTCCGCATCTGGGAGAAGCCCCCATCTCCTCCTCCACCGCCTCCCTTAGCTGGGGGTTTTCTCTTCATTTTTCTTCATCTGTTGGCTGGACTGGAATTGGAGCTGCTGTCCCCTTGTAAAGGTCAAACCTTGGTGGGTGGGGGGCACTGCGGTTGGGGCCCTTTAGAAAGAGAACTATAAACTTCCCTTTCTTCCCCCACCATTTATAGTTTTTGATCTACTTACTTATTTAAAGTCCAGTGAAAATGATCCGATTTAGCCATATGAACAAATGCATTTGCAGCTCAAGACAGAGGCCAACTGAGTGGATTTCCATTAATCAAGTTTTGGGTTTTTTCAGCCTGTTTATTTTTACAAAGTATTCCTGCAGAATGACATTTATTTGCAGTCCCTTCTTTTTTTTCCTTTTTTTTTTTTTTCTTTCCTTTCCTCAACTGCCAGGCAGCTTGCTCCATGCTTTAGGGGAAACTTGAAATACAAGCGAGGGCTTACTTCAATTGACTTTTATCTTCAAAGCCATAACAAATGTTACCCGCATGTTTTTGGTGGGTCTCCTTGGCATCCAGTCCTGGAGGATGGGAGGGAGGAGGAAGGAAGGAGAGGAAAACAAAAGTCTGTCGTTTTTAATTAAATAGTAGTATTCCCAGCAAGAGGAATGTGAGCCAGTAAAAGTTGCCATTGGGGGAAATGAGGGAGGGTGGGGAGGGGGCCCCAGCTTAAGTCTGTGGCTTTGGTGAAGTCATGGAATCTTGTTGCTTAGTTTCTTCCCCCAGCTGAGGACAGCATGGGGTGGTGCTTGCCTCGCTTCCTCAACTCCTCTCTCAGAGAAACACTGAGGGTTCATTAACCTTTGTTCAAAGCACTTTTAAAGATGTGAGACACGGAGCCATCAGTGTGACATATGTTAGGTGGTGGAGGGTGGGCCCTGCCATCCAAGGTAGTAAGAGGAGGGGCCCTCTGCTCCTTGGGGAGTTCTGCTTGGTGACTGGGACCCAGGCACCCAAGTTTCCACCAGCTCTGGCCCAGCCACCAAACCCACAGGGGTGGGGATGGCAGTTCGCCCTGGGAGAGGTCAGGGGAAGCCCAGGGTGTGGCGCTGCTTGGTGGGGACATGTGCACGGATTTCAGGTGTTGCCTGGAGGAATGTTTGTTATCTTAATAGTCAAGCATGTCTTTTACCAGGAAAGATAGTAACTAGGACATCAAGCCCACGATTTCACGGATATTATCACTTAGGATGGAGCTAAATTGAAAGAGAGTGTTGAAAGTTGATTCTGAGAAAAACATTAAGTACAAGTGGTCAAATTTGTGACTGTGGAAATGGAATGTCCACAGTTTGGGAAACCTGGAGAAATAGTGAATGAGACAGCAGTGGGCAATCTCCTGTCTAGTTTAATTTCCGTGATTCCCAGCAGCGCAGAAAGGGTGGCTGCAGGCTCTTCCAATAGATCATCAGGATGTACGGTGTGGGCTCCAAAGTCAGCTGGATTCTGGGGGCTGGCAGACAGGGCTCCCCCTCCAGCCCCAGGCCCAGGATGGTCTCTGTCTTTACTTCTTCACCTGGCTTTTCACCAAAGTGGCTGGAAGCACATTAGGGGTTCATCCAACTGGCATTATTATTATTGTGATGAACGTTGCTATATATTAAGTGCCTGTATATGTCAAGCACTTTGCTTACATGATCTTACTCCTCTTCATAGCCCTATAAAGTTGTCAGCCGGTTGGTGTGGACTCTGTCTTTCTGTTTCTCTGGAGCACTTTCTAGACAATGGGGGCCATGTGTAGCAAAGCCCTGTGCTAGGGCATATGCCCAGAGGGTGCCTCCCTTACTAATTTCCAGAGAGGCGGCATGCTGACCAGCTGCTGAGCACTTGGGGAAGAGGTGGGTGGTGGGCCAGGCAGGAGCAGAAAGGGCCCCTGCATGCCCTCTTCCTTCCTGACTGGGCCTGAGTAGCTTAGTAAATGTCCAGGGTGGGTCCCAGTTGCTTGGAAGGTCCTGGGATGTGAGAGGGTGACCTTGCTGGCACTAACCTACACCTGCCATCCTGAGTACAAAAATAAATGAGGTCAGGCTCTGGCACTATAGCTTGTCACCTTGCATAAGCCATTGTACCTAACCTCATCTGGGAGATGGGTATAGTAACATTCTCATCCCTGGCAGGGTTATGGCACATGATTCTTCAAAAAGAGTTCAGAAGGGGGAAAGGTACTAGGAGGTTTACCAAGGTGGCTGGGGGAGATAGGAGCCCAGATTATGAATCCAGAGACTTCCTGCCTTCGCCTGCCCTGCCATATGCTATAGACGTGCTTGGAGGGACACAGGCTAAGGGCTTCTGCTCTCCCCCCGTGGGGTGTGATGGAACTTCAAGGAGTCATGTGTTCAGAGGAGAACACTCATGAGAAATGTGACGAGTCCAAGTACTATGAGAGAAGAACAGTAAAGCGAACGATTTAAACATCAGACAACAGTGTGCTAAACACTTAGAAGTTTGAATAAAGCATAATCATCTCAAAGGGATGCAGGAGGAGAGGTAAACATGAAGCTGTAATGGCAGTTACAAAAGAAAACCAGTTGGAAATACCAGGTCTACAAAAATGTCATATAATAGGATGGGTGAAATCAAAAAGCTTGTCGAGGAATGGAGCCGTGGAGTAGACAGGGAGAGCCTGATGGCCTAGCCCTTGGAGAAGCAGAACCCGGGTGCCTGTGTGCTCGCGTGCTGTGTACCTGCGTGTGCTTACATGAATGTGTGGGACCAGATTTAAGGCCAATCCCCCAACCCCACTCCATCCCTGCAGTTTGGCTTTTCTGTTATTTTATGGCAGCGCTGCCTTAAGAGTCGGGCTGAGAGCTGTGGTGCCAGCAAGCTTGTGGGTTGATGGTGGCTGCCAGGCAGGTTGCTTATTGATTAGGGGGCACCTAGTGCATTTTGACATTTGGGGAAGATTGGGAGGGCGCAGCCTGGGTCATAGCCCGCGAGGACGTGTGGTCCCGGGCGATGAGATTGGAGGCTGGCTCTGGGCCCGGCTGCTGCCCGAGTTGCCGGATTCCAGGGGAATCACCCTTGAATGATACCAGTTGGCACAATTAAAAGGCCCCATGTCTTCACCATATGGAAAGCGTTAGGCCTCCTTACGTGGTTTCGAAGCTATGTGCCGGGAGGTAGACTTGACATTTGAGGTAAAGCATAAATTAAATATTTGGTGTTTTCAGAATTAAAAGATGATTTGCTTTGAGGCTGGTGGAGGCATCTGGGCCTCCACTTGCTGGCATCTTTGGGTTCTCCATGGAGGGTCTCTGCCTGTGGCACCCAGGGCCAGCCTCTTAGCCCTACCTGGCAGCTTTCTTTATCCTGGGGGAGTGGGGAGGAGAGCCTGGGTGCGGGGGTGGGGGGGTGGGGAGCTGGGCAGGGTGCCAGGTGGGGCTTCTGGCTTCCAATAGGGTTGGGCCTCTCAGGAGGGTGGGTGGTGGGCAAGGGTGTCATATTCTGAAGGCTTTAATGGATCTCTGTGATGTGGTCTCTGGGAGGCCTCGAGGAGCATCTCATCCTGCCTTTGAAACTTTTCTTCCCTGAGAAAGAAGTTCCCCTGGGTCAGGCCGATGCATGTTCTAGTCCCTCGTTCAGAAACAGCCCCTCCACATTTACTACAAACTGTAGTAAGCCTGGGGAGAGGCTGAACCAGGAAGCAAGCATGGCATGTTTCCCGGGGTCCCAGAATTCAGGGGAATGTTGCTTCCCCTCACCTAGTGGGGATGGCCGGAGTGAGGTGAGAGGGTGGGCTACGATGCTCCTAGCACTGGGAAGCTCCAGTACCATCCTCAGGGACAGACTATCCCTCTGAGGGCTTCAAACAGCTACCCGGCACATCAGCAATAAAAGGATCACTTTCTGAGTAATACATCTCCTCTTGTGGTAGCCCGGGGCACGTAGTGGGCACTCAGGCTGTGTTTGCTGCCTGAATGAGTGAGTGAATGAATGAAGCTAGCTTAGGCCACCATCCCTGCCTCATTCTCTCCCAGATCCTCTTCCTCAGGCAGGTGGAAGAGTGGGAGTAGGCCTTTTCTCTCAGGCACTCTGTTGTTAGTTATGATCAATAATGAGTTGTTACTCATCATTAACTCCCTAGCTCTACCAGGCATCGAGGATACAGTGACAAATAAAGGGGTTGTGGTCCCCATCCTCCTGTGGCTCCTAGCCTAATAAAGGAGACAAAGGAACCAGCACATAAATAGGCACATTACCGGCCTTGGGAGAAGCTGCGTGAAGGTGGCACTGAAGCAGGAACCTGACAGGCCATGAGGAAGAGGATGTGGGAGGAGAAGGCTGGCATCCATGCCTGGAAGAGCTGATGGAGGCCCCAGCCTTGCCATCGTCCTTGGGAACTGGGTGCTGGTTGGGTTGGGAGCATGGACTCCCAGGTGGCTTGCAGCCTGTGGGGACTACAAAGCTCTCCTGGTGCTTTAGGCTTTCTGAGAAGCCCTGTGTGTTAGTGGCTCTTGGCATGTTTGAGCTACCTGTCCCCCTGGACAGGTGTGTGGGGTGGAGGAGCAGGGTGGGTAGTCAGTGTGCCACCTCAGCCAGCAGCATGTCCCTTAGAGCTGATTCATGTGGAGGGTCGTGGACGGCTGTTGGGATGGCTACCCTGGGGGGAGAGGAGGGTCCCAGCTGTGCTGGGGTATGGCAGGGGTGGGGGGGGGGGAGGCCCTGAGGGGTGGGATGGAATTGGTTGCTCAAGGCAGAAAGAGGCACCTCAAGGGCTAGGGGGTAAGAGGCAGTGACAAGCCAATCCCAGAGAACTGTTGTGAGCCTGTGACTGAGGGAAGAGGGTCCCTTGCCTTGGGTTACCTGATGTGTCTGAGCAAAGGGAGCACCAAGGGACCCTCTAGTCAAGGGGCCAGTGCCCTGGCCCACCAAGGGATCTGCTAGCACCGGTGAGCCAGGCACCCCTCAGCTCCCGGCTTGGGGGTTCCTGCAGTCTCGTTCACTGGCTGTAGGCTCACAGTGTGCTTTGGTTTAGAAACTTTTAGAATTTTTAGGTTGCTTGTTGGATTCCAAAGCAGGCGCTTCTGGCTGCTCCCTCACTCTTCTTTCTTTTTCACTCACACATGTTCTTTTTGTGGCTCTTGTCTGTCAGACATTCTTTCTCTTCCTCTCTCTCTCTCTTTCTCTCTCTCTCTCTCTCTCTCTCTCTCCCTCCCTCCCTCCCTCCCTCCCTCCCTCCCCCCTCCTTCCCCTCTCCTCCTCCCTCTCCCCCTCTCCCCGAGGAAGGAAAAAATTCAGACTCTCACAAACAAAATATCTGCCATTCCATCTGAGGGAGAACTGAGGCAGGAGCCCAGAATATCCTGGAAGAAACGCCAGAGAGAGCTGAAGGCCTCAGTTGTTTAATCTGGAAGGCGGTCTTTGATGTCACCGGGCTCCGTTTATCCTGGGAGGCTGCCTGCTTCTTTATGGCTGGCTTCAGACTCTCCACATGAAGAATGGCCGAGAGCCTTCAGGGGCCGGAGGAAAAGCCTGATCACTCCCCGAAGGGCAGGCCTGAGGATGCTGCCCCTCCTGCCAAGCCCAGGTGGGGTGGAGAACCTTTTCCAAACAAGCATTTCCAGAGACATAAGTAATTCTTTGATAACTTCACGGGGAAGCCGAGGGGGCTGTTTATCCATGTGGGCAGCAGTCACAGGGCTTTGCGAGGAAAGCTCAGGTCTCTCCACGGGTCATCCCTAGCCCCAGAGAGGCGGCTCTGCCCACCCGGGTGTGCCCTGGGTGTGAGTTTGTTTAGAGGAATTGGTCTGAGCTTCACTTTCCTTACTTGTTGAGCCACGTGGGCTGTGCCCTGTGTGCGTGGCCCTGTGTGTGGCTGAGGCCTTTCAGAGAGCCCAGGGATCCTGGCGGGGGCTTCCCAGTGGTGTGGTATCACTTCCCTTCTCTGGGCCTCGGGTTTTCCAGCTAAGAAGAAGATTTATCATAATTTAACAACTATTGGTGCATTTTATTCAAGTAATTCCTACGTCTGTGCAATAGATATTGAGTACCTATTTTAGGCCATGTATACATTTGCTCTGCCAGTAGAGCATGGTATCTGTGTTCATGGAGTTTATACTCTAGTAGGAAAAGAGAAGTATTTTTAAAAACAAATGATGCAATTTAAGTTGTGATACGTACCTCAAAGGAGGAGTCCTGGGTGCTTTGTGAACATTGAATGGATATAATCTGGGTGGCTGTGCATTCCACAGATATTTGCATGTGTTTAGGGTGGTGTAGAAACTGAACCATCTGGCACAGTTCCCCCCTCACCAAACTTAAGAGTTTAGTGGAACTAAATGTTCATCTTTGCCTCTCATCCTGTTTTCTTATCTTATTGCATTGGTTAGAACCTCCCATACTATTTAATAACTGTTTGTTGTTTAACTAGTTAAGAAAGCTTCTTCCAGCCCCTGGCTTGCTAATATTTTTGAAGGCAGGAATAAATATTGAGTTTTGTCAAATGCTGTTGGGGTGTTGTCATCCTTTGCTAATATAATAAATGATTTATGTGCATGATTTACATCATTAGATTTCCTAGTGTTCAACTTCTTTGTATTCCTAATCTCAGTCCTCCTTTGTCACAAGACACTGCTGTTTAAAAAGGTTGCTTTATTTGTTTTGCCAATCTTTCACTTTGGATTTTTGCATAGATATTCACGTTAGATTGGCTCATAGTTTGGGCAGGTGGATACTGAACAATGAAGACAATGTTAGGGGAATGTTGGAGGACACTCAGGCGACTCTGAGAATCTAGGGCAGGGAGTGCCAACTGGCTTTGGGTCAGAGGTGGTCTTGGAGGAGCTGTGATTTCAGTCCAAAAGTGAATTGGGGAAGGGGTGGCAGGGAGGCAAGAGGGGGAGGCCTGTAATAGCCCTGTAATGAAGGGGGCAGTTTGTTTGAGATGCTGGTTGAAGTTCATTTGGCTAAGGGGTCACAGTTTGGGCCTGGGGGCCCTTCTCAGCCATGCTATGGGCCTCTGTCTTGGTCTAGAGGGAAGACAAGTAGCAGGCCCTATGGGAGGGGCCAGCAGGACAGAAGTGGGGTAGCTCTTGTGCCTGGGAAGAAGGAATGTGGGGACGGGCTCTCAGTTGTAAAAATACTTTGGAGGATAAAGAGGAATCAAGTGACTGTATCTTCTTGGCTCAGTGAGAGATTCTGGAATGTCTGCATTGATCCACACATAGCACTATGGCTCTTGGGGGTCTTCCAAGGGATCTTTGAGGAGGCCACCAGCAGGTAAAGGACCAGAAGGAGAAAAGTACATAAGGCAGTGTAGCGTGATTCTTAAAGAGTAAGGACTCTGGAGACTAATATCCTGGGTTCAAATCCTGGTGGCTCAATTTTCTGACTGTGGGACCTTGGGCATAGTGTCTAACCTCTGTGTCAGCCAGGGGTCTGGCAGGAAACAAGTGTACTCCAGATTGTTTAAAATAACTTCTAAAGGTGTGGGAAGGGTTAACAGAATCTTCATGGGGTATTGAGGCACCCAAGGACTGCTTGGCCCCTGGCAGAGGCAGGGAGGTGTTACCGTCCCAGGGCAGAAAGGGCAGGGGAGGAAATGTTGGATATTTTTGGTTTGGATCCCTGTAGGAACTGTAGCTGAGGAAGTGAAAAGGTCAGGCAGGAGCTGTAGATATGGAAGATGAACCATTGTCAGAGACATGGTGCAAACTTAGCAGGGATGGGAGAAATACCCCGACCTTTCTCTCCTTGTATCCTCGGGTTTCCTGCTTGGGCCTCCTATTGGCTGAAGCTGGAAGCCAGAGACCAGGAAGCTTCAGCAGATTGGTCTAAGAGAGTCAGCTTCTGGGGGCACAGAGCAGCATGGGGGGTGGGATGGATGGGGGTGTGGAGGGTGATGGAAGAATCAACTCTGGGCCTCGGTTCCCTCATCTATAAAGTGGGGATGAGCAGTTATGGGGACTCAAACTGTAAAATGGTTATAACTGCCTAGCACAGAAGTAAGTGCTCAATTCAAGTTAGCTATTGACCTTATAAAGCCGTAAGAAACACCACACTATGGAGATTCAGGGAATGCTTCCTGAAGGAGGTGGCATGTGAGGAGGCTCTAAAGGATGATCCAAGTTTAAAGGGCCAGAGAAGTCTTATTAATGAGCACAGCAGGCTGGGCAGGGGACACTCAGGAGGGGGTGGGGACTGGGAGCCCCTGGGGGGCACCCGTCCTATCTCAAGGGGGCAGCACCCCTCAGCCCCAGCCAATTGTTACCATGTGGGAATGCGGCCCTGGTGTTGCCACATTTGATCATTAAGAGAATCCAGCCATCTGGGTTTTTGTGTGAAGTCATTCTAATTAAAAAAAAAAATCATCAACCAAATACAATTTTTAGAAAATAGTTTCTTTGGGTGGAGGTAGGTAGCTAGATTTGGCCTGTTGTGCCCTGGCTCATGAGACGATACTTTGGTGGGTAGGAGTGTGTTAGTGGTGATTGTGCGTACACGTGAGCGTGAAGGCTGCCTCGTGCTTTCCATGTGGTTTTTCCGTGTGCCGTTCCCCGGTATTATGCCAACAAGAGACGGGCTCAGCAAATCCAAGGGTGGGGCCGGCAAGGGAGAGCTGGGAAGCGGGGACAGTGTCTCAGTCCCGCGGAACACCGTGGGAGGGCCGGGTGGGGTAGGCACAGGGAGATGCTCTTGGGCCCCTCTGTGGACAGCTCTAGGCCGCATTTCAAGCTCGTGTCTAGCGTCTCGCATTGGTTCTCTTACCCTCCATTAGACCCGCCTTCGGTTCTGGCCTCGTAGTGCTCAGCCCCCGGTCCCGCCCCGCCACACACCATGCGGCAGGTGTCAGAGGTGTAGCTTGCAGAACCCGACTCCCAGTTGCAGGTGTCCCCAGCCGGCTGGCTCGGCTCTGATCCTCAGTTTGCACATCTGCGGAGTGGGTAGAGCCCTGGTTGCTAGCTCACCGGGGTGCTCTGAGAGCAAAATGAGTTTCCTCCTGGCTGCTCAGGGTGAGTAAAGCAGATGCCTCTCCCCTTCCAGCTTTTCAGATTGGCTTGCTAATGGTCACGCTGATGTGTGCTAAACATGAAGAGGAAAGGAGCAGGCTGTGGTGGGAGAGTAAGGGGGCTTCTGCTGTGGACTGGCGGGGGGATGGGGGTGTGACATTTAAGTTGCTGGGGCCCAAAGAATAAAGAGCTGGCTGAGGAAAGGGTCATCTCAGACAGAGGGAGGTGCAAAGGATGTGATCGCTGCAGATAGTCTTCAACTCTCTCCTGAGCGTCTGTCCCAGGACCAGATTCTCATCTCTGAGATGTTAGGACAGAGACACATTCTCCAGCAGAGTGGGGTAGGCATTGCCTGGGGTTGTGGGGACAGGGGTCTGTGACAGGTCATAACCTGTCATGAGCCCTGGTCTACCCCCTGCAGGTGATGGGATTTTTTTCTTGACGTCCGGCCACTCTGGCTTCCCTCCTTTCTGGCTGGTTGGGAGGTAGCGGGAGAGCCTGTGGAGCTGATCAGCCGGCCTGCCGATTGCTGCCCGAGCCCCCTGGCGTCGAGTGCTGATCTGGGGCTCTGGAGAGGGGCAGAGCATAAAGGGGCCCTGTTAGCAGGGCCGGCCTGTCTACCCTCAGGCCACAGGTGAGGGCTGGGGAAGACCAGAGCCTCCCCAGTGGGCTCAGGCCCAAGGATGTTTTTCTCATTCCAGAGGGCCACACAGGCTGGCAGGCTGCTCACACAGAGGCTTAGGCTTGCAGCGGCTCCACTGAGCGGGTTTGGGGGCGCTGTTGCTATCGTTTTACTGATGGGGAAACTGAGGCACTACAGGAGCCTACCTCCTTGCCCAAATTCACTTGGTTGACTTCAAAGTGGGCTCTTGTTCCAGCAAGATTCAAATTCAGGTTAATCTGATTTTAGAGCTATCTTCCATCATTATAGATGAGACTTTTTCCCCCTTCAACCACATGTTATAATCCCCTTTGTGGCTCATGAAATCAGTTTAGCGATCGGCATTTAAAAAAAAAAAGAAAAAGAATAAAAACAAGAGAGAACAATGCTTAAAGTAAGAGGAAATACATATCTGCCTGAACTTTTGTTTAATTTAGAGACATGGATATTCAAGTCTATAGATAACAGATAGATGGATAGACAGATCAATCTAGATCTATGGATACCTACACACACATCTGCACCCAAATCCACATATACAGAGGCCCTCTGGAATGTAATTCTTGCTGTGGGTTGAAGTGTTGGAAAACACTGATGTTTGGTCACTGGTGAGGGCCCTGGGCCTGAATGCTATGTCAAGCCCCAGCTCTGCTTCCTACTAGCTGTGTGACCTTGGGCACTTTCCCTAACCTCTCTGTGCCAAAGTTTTCTTTCTTAACATTAGAGCCTTTTGCTTTGCTGACTATTTGGTCACGACAGATTTTCCCAAGATTGCTGGGGCTGCTTTCTTGCCCAGTCACTCCCTTTATTTTGAGCATGAAGAGAATGAGGAGTTCCTTGTCAGCCCCCATGTCCTCTCACCTGAGAACCAACCTCTGAGCAGCAGCTGCCTCCTGGAAGAACACATGGCTGAATCTT